TAAATCCATTTATTGTCGACATTCTCACATGCCACATCTAAGCCACTGGTAATTCCTGTTGCTCTATTTTCAAAACATATCCGTAATTCAACTACTTCCCATCACTTTCACCAGCACTAACTACAATTACAGGCACTGCTTTCTCTCAAACCTGGATTGGCTTCCTGACTAGGCTACTTGCTTCTGCCAGTTTCAAGGTTAAGATAGGCTATACCACTACTATGCTTGAAACCCACTTACAGCTTCCATTCCTACTCAGATAAGACAGTCCTCTTAAGGACCCATATAATCTGGTATTTTCTATCTCCCCTAACATTCCTATTTATCATTCTGACCTCATTTCCTACTCCTCTACTACATTTACTCTCCTCAGGCTAACCAAACAGCATGCCCTGCCCCCAAGGGCCCCTTGCACTAGCTCTTTCTAGGGTGCTCCTCCTTCAGATAGAAGCATGGCTCTCCCTTATCTCCTTCACTTTTTTCCTCAAATGTCACTTATCAAAGGATGACCTTCCTTTATTATTCTCTATAAATATTCACCCCTTCCTCCTTACCATGCATACCCTGCATTATTTTTCTCCATGGCACTTATTACGATCTAACATAATTACTTATGTAAGTTCTTTTTTTTTTTTTTTTGAGACGGAGTCTCGCTCTGTGGCCCAGGCTGGAGAGCAGTGGCCGGATCTCAGCTCACTGCAAGCTCCGCCTCCCGGGTTTATGCCATTCTCCTGCCTCAGCCTCCAGGCGCCCGCCACCACGCCACCTCGCCCGGCTAGTTTTTTTGTATTTTTTTAGTAGAGACGGGGTTTCACCGTGTTAGCCAGGATGGTCTCGATCTCCTGACCTCGTGATCCGCCCGTCTCAGCCTCCCAAAGTGCTGGGATTACAGGCTTGAGCCACCGCGCCCAGCCACTTACATAAATTCTTTTTTTTTTTTTTTTTTTTTTTTTTTTTGAGACGAGTCTAGCTCTGTTGCCCAGGCTGGAGTGCAATGGCCGGATTTCAGTTCACTGCAAGCCCCGCCTCCCGGGTTCACGCCATTCTCCTGCCTCAGCCTCCCGAGTAGCTGGGAGTACAGGCGCCCGCCACCTCGCCCGGCTAATTTTTTTTTGTATTTTAGTAGAGACAGAGTTTCACCGTGTTAGCCAGGATGGTCTCGATCTCCTGAACTCGTGATCCGCCCGTCTCGGCCTCCCAAAGTGCTGGGATTACAGGCTTGAGCCACCGCGCCCGGCCTATACATTCTTAAAAGGCCTACTACATGTACTACCGTATCCCCAGTTCCCAGAAGAGTGACAGCCATGTAGTATGCTCTCAATATTACTGAGTGAATGTAATGTTTCTAGCATATTCTTAATTACTAGCAGTTATTTGGAAACATAAGTATTATCTAATAAATATCTCATTTTAGTCAACCTTGCCTTCAATCTAATCTTTAAGATAGGTCTGATTTCAATCCAAGAGATTTTATTTCATACAAATTACAAAGGCCAATACTATTTGGAGAGTGGGGTAGACAACAAGAATGAAAGATAACCATGGAGCAGAAGACAGACAAGACTCACATTAGTATATAGCAATTAATTGGGCTCTGTCTCGCTCTGTCGTCCAGGCTGGAGTGCAGTGGCGTGATCTCGGCTCACTGCAACCTCCACCTCCTGGGTTCAAGCGATTCTCCTCCCTGAGCCTCTGGAGTCCCAAGTTGCTGAGGCTACTGGCATGTGTCACCACACATAGCTAATTTTTGTATTTTTAGTAGAGATGGGGTTTCGCCATGTTGACCAGGCTGGTCTCAAACTTCTGACCTAAGGTGATCCACTCACCTCGGCTTCCCAAAGTGCTGGGATTACAGGTGTGAGCCACCATGCCTGGCCAGCTGCAGGCTTTTAAAGATGGTCTATAATTTATAGATCTGCACTCTTAGCAAATGTGAAAGCCACACAGTAACAGTATAGTTATCTCAAAAGAGAGCACTTGTGCATTTGAGAGTAAACCACACAAAGGATATTAAGGTGTCTGGATTTGAGGGACTTAATTTTCATCAACTAACACCAGCAATGTTTTTCTAGTCTAGTGTGTAGCTTTTAGTTCACAAGTTGAATATTTTTAAAGTGACCAAGGCCAATTCAGACTTACTATACATGTATTTTTATTTTTTTATTATGGAAAATTTCAAATTTATACATGAATAGAGAATAGTAGTATACATCACTCATACGCTCACTACAAATGTTTGAACTTATTAATTGTACCTTGAATACTCCTCAAAATAATCTTGCAGTATAAACTTTAGGGAAGTTTGTCTCAGAATATGTTTTCAAAGTATTGGTGACAAGAAATCAAATACTAGTATTCTCTAACTTAACATGGAGATGCTGAACACTCAGATGTAGCAAATGAAGGAATTTCCAGTGAGCCATTTAGGTATGCGGGTGATAAAAACTTAAGACTCTATTTTATTCTCAAGAAAAATCTTAATTCACTGCTTGAAATTCTACCAGTTTTTTTTTTTTTTTTTTTTTTTTTGGGATGGAGCCTCCCTCCTGTCGCCAGGCTGGAGTGCAATGGCGCAACCTCAGCTCACTGCAACCTCCACCTTCCGGGTTCAAGTGATTCTCCTTCCTCAGCCTCCTGAGAAGCGGGGATTACAGGCATGCGCCACCATGCCCAGCTAATTTTTGTATTTTTAGTAGAGACAGGATTTCTCCATGTTGGCCAGGCTGGTCTTGAACTCCTGCCCTCAGGTGATCCACCCGCCTCGGCCTCCCAAAGTGTTAGGATTACCGGCGTGAGCCACTGTGCCCAGCCAATTATACCAGTTTCTTAAACAAATTTATTGATCACTTACCATGGACCAGACTAAGAACATATATTAAGAGGCTCTATGTTTTTAATGTGCTAAGAACTGTGTTAAGAACATATATTAAAAGCCTCTGACTTCCAGGGTCATTAAAGCAAAAATCTTACATTAAAATTAAAAGCACTACTAGGAAAACTTAGGGATTAGTACCCTCATGTTTAGCCAAGGTTTGCCTGACTGGAAAAATGGGAGTTTGGGTTGAGGGAGGTAGAAACAAGAGACTTTTACAGTATGACTACTTTGAGGAAGTGTTTCTTGGATGGGGTGTTTTAGTGAGGGATACAAGGCAAAATAAGTCATAAATGTAATAGTTAAGAGTTGAGGACAGGCCAGGCGCTGTGGCTCACATCTGTAATCCTAGCACTTTGGGAGGCCGAGCTGGGCAGATCACCTGAGGTCAGAAGTTCGAGACCAGCTTGGCAAACATGGTGAAACCCCGTCTCTACTAAAAATACAAAAATGAGCCGGGCATGGTGCCCGCCTGTAATGTCAGCTACTTGGGAGGGTGAGGCAGGAGAATGGCTTGAACCCAGGAGGTGGAGGTTGCAGTGAGCCGAGATCGGACCACTGCACTCTAGCCTTGCAGCCTGGGTAACAAAGTGAGACTCCATCTCAAAAAATTAAAAAGTAAAAACAAAAAGTTACGTGGTCAGATGCTTCTGGCAGTTTTTAAAATTAAACATTTTCAAACGAAGAATATTAAGTTTACATTATAAAACACGAGCAGTGCCTTAACCCAAAATGCTGATGGCTGTCGTAGCTAAGAGGCAAGGGGGAAGAGACTCCACCAACACCGTGAGGCTAGTTAGTTTTTTAGGGAGTATTCATCTACAGATACAATATTTCCTAAAACAAAGGTCATGCACTAATTGCTACGTCCTATTGAAAAGATACTTTTTGAGCCTCAGGAATAGAGAAAAGAAATTTCAAGGTTACTAACAGATTAACTGACAATCTATTAAGAAAACAAGTGCAACCACATTTCCAATATAGATAAGAAATAGCAACTTAAAAGTGGAAAAATTTTGGAGGTGAAAAAAACGACATCGTACTTCAGAGCAACTTCATTATCTAGAAAGCTGCAAAGAGAAACCTAAAATTGCATTTTTAATGCATGGAGCTCTCAAACTGCCAGTATTCCAAGAATATAAACAAAAAGCTATGTCATCCAAGAAAAACAAAAAGCTATGTCAAGAACTCATTGAGCTTTTCTCTTTCCGAGAAATGCCAACAAAGGCAGGATCAACTCATCCGATAATACTTTGAAAAACAAAGAACGCAGTGGGGGAAACCACACGACAAAGAAAATATCCACGCTCCGATAATTTAACGCTAACTCTAAAAATTCTCTATAAATATGTTACGGCATTTATCAATTGTTGCTTCATAAAAACGGCCCGCTCGTTCAACACCAAGTCAATCACAACAGTAGCAAGCGACTATAAAAATAATATTATATCAATTTCCCCACAATTGATACATTCCTTCTGGGTGAGATTTCCAAATCCTTGGAGTGTCTGGTTAGGCTTTTTGGTCGGTGGGGGGCTACAGAAGGAAAGCCAGAGGTTAAAGAAAAATGCTTGGCTTTTTTCCAATGTCAACTGCAAGAATAAAGTTTACCGCACTGAAAATGAGTACAAGCAGCCTCAAGGGGGGGAAAAAATCTTATCACCGAGAAGAAAATGAAAGGAAGAATTTCAATAGGAAATCAAAAGTAAAATTAAAGGAAGACGGCTGTAAAGATAAGAAGAAGTTAATTAAAAAGGGGGAGAAGCGGGAAAAGAGAAGGATAGAAAGCATAGGACAAAAGGAAGGTTCGACAAGTTCTAAAAAGAGATCTGAATGAAAAAGTCTTCTCCAGGTCTAAGACCACAGAGGGCCCGCGGCGAGAGCAAAGGTCAAGCAATGGTGTAGCTAAAGTGAAGGGATTAATTGAAAGGGTTGAGCCCGGTCTCCCTTCACCTTGTCCTCTCACAGATTGGGTCTTGGTTCTAAGCATTCAGGTGCATGCTAAGGAAACAAAAACCACGATATGGCGGTGTCCACGGAGAACAATAGGCTGGGAGCGGCGCAGGGCCGAGGCCTTCCCTCCGGGACGACCACCATCCCGCCTCCCTCATCGCTGCCCCAGACTCACAGAGTCTTGGGCATCTCGTCCTCCATGGCTGCTGCTGTCGCGGCGCCGCCTCCGGGTCCAACTCCCTGCCCTTCACTACCTCCCAAATCGTTTGAGCGGTTATGGCTACGGGATAGCGGGGTTTCTCGGCTGACCAGAGGTTACTCCGCCTCCTTCTCCCGCGGCAATTACACTAAACCGCCCGGCCCAGCGGGAACAATGAAGCCCCAATACAAGATGGCGGCTAGCCGGGCGCCTAGGAGCAGCCAGGGAAGTTACCCGGGCCGCGCAGGCGCAGAATAATCTTGCACTCTCAACCTCCCGGCAGCCAGGCTACACCTTAATCCATAGGTTCACTTGTTGCGCAGCCGCTCTTCCACCCGACGCTAGGGACGTCTCAGGCTGCGCAGGCGCAAGGGTTAACTACTTCAAGGCTTGCGTGAACTTTTTTGTCTTCTGGCTGCGGATTCTAGTGTTTCGACCGCGAGTTATAATGGAGTGGAAACCTTCAGGGACAGTAAAAAGCCTAAATCTTTCCAAAAGAGGAAAGATATATAAAGACTCTTCAAGCTATCTGGTTTTTATAAAGACTCTTCAAACTATTTGGTTTTTGGAGAGCGAGAAGCAAAAGTGGCTTGCGCCGCCCGGGAATCGAACCCGGGTCGCAAGAATGGGAATCTTGCATGATACCACTACACCAGCGGCGCTGTTGGTATAGCTTGCCGCCAGAGTGTTTTAGGAGGAAATAAAAGCAGACGTTGGCTTTCATGTGAAAAGAATTGTCATGTATTATTTATTAATTTAAGAGTAAAAGTTTATTGACAGTCTATAATCTTGTTTTTCAATAACATAAATAATTTATCTTCTCTCATCCCAAACACGGGAATGGATGTTTCAACTTTCTCTGTACAGAAAAAAAAATTTCAATTTAAAATGTTTACTTAAGAAATAAGAAAAAAGAAAAAAAGTTTTACTTTAAAAAGTAAAGATTTTATTAAGAATTTGCCTCGTTGGTGCTAGCCAAATTTTTGAGAGCGGGGACGATATTTCCAGATGCCAGATTTTTATTTGTATTTGCATTTCTTCCGTGTATTGAATGCACATTGAAAAGTATTTCAGAAATATCTGTTTAGGCCGGGGGCAGTGGCTCACGCCTGTTATCCCAGCACTTTGGGAGGCTGAGGCGGGAGGATCACCTGAAATCAGGAGTTCGAGACCAGCCTGACCAACATGGAGAAAACCTGTGTCTACTAAAAATACAAAAATTAGCCTGGCATGGTGGTGGGCGCCCGTAATCCCAATTACTCAGGAGGCTGAGGCAGGAGAATCACTTGAATCCGGGAGGCAGAGATTGCAGTGAACCAAGATCTTGCCATTGCACTGGGCAACAGAGCGAGGATCCTTCTCAAAAAAACAAAACAAAACAAAACAAAACAAAAAAAAAACAAAAACCACTATTTAATGCAAATTGGTCACAAGAATCTTAAAAGTAAACAAGTCAAAAGATACATAAACTTCGGTCCAACTTTAGGAGGCAGAGAAATTAGAGCTCTGAAATGTGGTTCAGTATACTCAGTATGCATTTCATATTGCTTATTATATATATGTCACTAAAGTAATCCTATATCTAGGAATCTATCCTACAGAAGTAAAAGAATTAAATTATAAAGATTTACTTGCCAAGATACAACTGCAGCATTATTTGTAATAGAAAAAAATGGAGTAACCTGAATATCCATCAATGCCACTTGTGGTAATTTATTCAATTTACACCGAATATGTGTGGAAATTTTTCTTTTTCTTTTCTTTTTCTTTTTCCTTTTTTTCTTTTTTTCTTTTTTTTTTTTTGAGACAGTCTCGCTCTGTCTCCTAGACTGGAGTGCAGTGGCACAGTCTTGGCTCACTGCAACCTCTGTCTCCTGGGTTCAAGCGATTCTCCTGCTTCAGCCTCCCCAGTAGCTGGTATTACAGATGTGAGCCACCACCTAAATTAGCCTGGCTAATTTTTGTATTTTAGTAGAGACAGGGTTTCACCATGTTGGCCAGGCTGGTCTTGAACTCCTGACCTCAGGTGATCCGCCTACCTCAGCCTCCCAAAGTGCTGAGATTACAGCCATGAGCCGCTGCCCCTGGCCAGAACATTCATTTTATGGACTATTTTGCAGCTATTGAAAAGCTGTTAATCAGATCTGTAGTGTTGAACTGGAAAATATCTATGATGTAAGTTTAAGTTGTAGAAATACTTTTTTAAACATAGGAGAATTTACACATCGAAAAATGTGATGTCGGCCGAGTGGGGCAGCTCATGCCTGTGATCCCAGTCTTTGGGAGGCCGAAGTGAGCAGATCACTTGAGCCAGGAGTTCAAGACCAGCCTGGCCAACATGGAGAAACCCCGTGTCTACTTTAAAATACAAAAATTAGCCAGGTGTGGTGGCACCTGTCTGTAATCCCAGCTACTCAGGAGGCTGAGGCAGGAGAACCACTTGAAGCCGGGAGTCAGAGGTTGCAGTGCGCCCCTGGGCAACAGAGCAAGACTCCTCAAAAACAAAACAAAACAAAACAAAACACCAAAAAAAACAAAAAACAAAAACGTGATGTCCTCTTTAAAGTAGTTTGTTCAGACTGGATACACTCTGGATTTTCATTTTTTGGAATTGTCTTTAGAGTCTCTGGCACATTCTTCAGATTATTTTCAAAGATATCAAGTACTAGTCTTTTGATGGTGAATAAAACAAATGTTAATGGTGGATGGTATTTTTAAAACACCTTTTTGGGACATCCATATAAAGTGTTTTTCAGTTTAATAGTTTTTAGTTTATTCACAGAGGTGTGTGTGCAAGAATCACCACAATCAATTTTATAACATTTTCTTCACCTCAAAAAGGAAACCCTTAGCAATTAGCAGTCACTCCCTGACCCTCATCCCATTCCATGTCCCAGCCACTAGTCTTTCTGCCTCTATAGATTTGCCTATTCTAGACATTTCATATAATTGGAAGCATGCAATATATGGTTTCTTGTGACTGACTTATTTCACTTAACATTATGCTTTTCAGGGTCATCCATATTGTAACATGTATCATTACTTCATTCCTTTTTATTCCCAAATGAAACTCCATTATATGGATATTGCACAAGTACTTATTTATTTATTTATTTGAGAAGAGTCTTTCTCTGTCTCCTAGGCTGGAGTGCAATGGCACAATCTTGGCTCACCGCAACCTCTGCCTCCTGGGTTCAAGCGATTCTCCTGCCTTAGCCTCCCCAGTAGCTGGGATTACAGGCGCCCACCACCATGCCCAGCTAATTTTTGTATTTTTAGTAGAGATGGGGTTTCACCATGTTGGCCAGGCTGGTCTCGAACTCCTGATCTCAGGTGATCTGCCCGCCTCAGCCTCCCTAAGTGCTAGGATTACAGGTGTAAGCCACTGCTCCCAGCCGTACTTTTTTTTTAAGTAGAGTAGTTTTTAAGTTACAAAAGTAAAATGTGTTTAGTGTTACAAACGAAATGGATACATAAGGAAAATATTAAAAATGTATCTTCTTCCCCTTCTTGAGGTAAATAATATTAATAGATTCATCTGTAATGTTCCACATTTTACTCTATACAGATGCACATGTATACACTTGGATTTTTAGGGGTTTTTTGTTTTTTATTTTTTGGTTTTTTTTGAGACAGAGTCTCGCTCTGTCGCCCAGGCTGGAGTGCAGTGGCCCGATCTCAGCTCACTGCAAGCTCTGCCTCCCGGGTTTACGCCATTCTCCTGCCTCAGCCGCCTGAGCAGCTGGGACTACAGGCGCCCGCCACCTCGCCCGGCTAGTTTTTTGTATTTTTTTAGTAGAGACGGGGTTTCACCGTGTTCGCCAGGATGGCCTCGATCTCCTGACTTCGTGATCCACCTATCTCGGCCTCCCAAAGTGCTGGGATTATGGGTGTGAGCCACTGTGCCGGGCTTCAGGGTCTCACTCTGTTGCCTAGGCTGGAGTGCAGTGGCAGTGATCTTGGCTCACTGCAGTCTCTGCCTCCTAGGCTCAGGTGTTTCTGCCACCTTAGCTTCCTAAGTAGCTGGGACTACAGGCGCGTGCCACCATGCCTGGCTAATTTTTTTTTTTTTGAGATGGAGTTTCACTCTTGTTGCCCGGGCTGGAGTGCAATGGCTTGATCCCAGCTCACTGCAACCTCCACCTCCTGGGTTCAAGCAATTCTCCTGCCTCAGCCTCCTGAGTAGCTGGGATTACAGGTGCCCACCACCACGCCCGGCCAATTTTTGTATTTTTAGTAGAGATGAGGTTTCACCATATTGGCCAGGTTGGTCTTGAATTCCTGACCTCAGGTCATCTGCCCGCCTCGGCCTCCCAAAGTGCTGGGATTACAAATGTGAGCCACTGCGCCCAGTCCTGGCCTAATAGTTTTTTAATAGTTGCAAAATCGTCCATCAAATGAAAGTTCCACAATGTATTGGATGGTAAATTGAATAAATTACCATAGTGACATTGATGGATATTCAGGTTACTACTTTTAAAAACCTATTACAGGGGGGGGTAAGTGACAAGAGGGAAAAAAAAAACAGTAAAGGAAATTAAAAAAAAAAAAAAAAAAAAACTAGGGGGGGGGGGGGGGGGGGGGGGGGGGGGGGGGGGGGGGGGGGAGGGATGACAGGGGAAGAGGGACTTAAAAAAAAAAAAAAAAAAAAAAAACCTATTGTATTACAAAAAATGTTGCAGCTGTATCCTGGTACATATATCTTTTTTTTTTTTTTTTTGGAGACTGGGGGGCAGAGTCTTGCTGTGTGCCCAGTCTGGAATGCAGTGCCGTGATCACTACTCACCTCAGCCTCTACCTTCCAGGCTCAGGTGATCCTCCTGCCTCAGCCTCCTGAGTAGCTAGGACTACAGGTGCACACCACCATGCCAGGCTAATTTTTAAAATATTTTTTCATATAGATGGGGTTTTGCCATTTTGCTCATGCTGGTCTTGAACCCTGGGCTCAAACCATCCGCCCACCCTGGCCTCCCAAAGTGCTGGGATTACAGATGTGAGCCACTGAGCCTAGCCTCTTTCTCGAAGTTTAACTTTATTTTGTAGCCAACCTATTTTCCTCTCATCTATGTCGTTATTCATGTTCATGTACTAGTTATTCTTTTTTGTTTGTTTGGGTGAAGTATTGTAATTACAGAAATGAGATCATTTTATACCCATCATGCAATCACAAGCTTTTCTCAACTGATAATACTAGGACACTAGTTATAGACCCAATTTTTTTTTTTTTTTTTTTTTTTTTTTTGAGACAGAGTCTCGCTCTGTCACCCAGGCTGGAGTGCAGTGGCCGGATCTCAGCTCACTGCAAGCTCCGCCTCCCGGGTTCACGCCATTCTCCTGCCTCAGCCTCCCGAGTAGCTGGGACTACAGGCGCCTGCCACCTCGCCCGGCTAAGTTTTTGTATTTTTAGTAGAGACGGGGTTTCACTGTGTTACCCAGGATGGTCTCGATCTCCTGACCTCGTGATCCGCCCGTCTCGGCCTCCCAAAGTGCTGGGATTACAGGCTTGAGCCACCGCGCCCGGCCTTTTTTTTTTTTTTTCTTTGAGGCAGAGTCTCACTCTGTCGCCCAGGTTGGAGTGCAGTGGCATAATCTTGGCTCACTGCAACCCCTGCCTCCTGGGTTCAAGCAATTTTCCTGCCTCAGCCTCCTGAGTAGCTGAGATTACAGGCGTGCACCACCACACCTGGCTAATTTTTATATTTTTATTAGAGACAGGGTTTCACCATGTTGGCAGGCCTGGTCTCGAACTCCTGACCTCAGATGATCTGCCTGCTCTGGCCTCCCAAAGTGCTGGTATTACAGGTGTGAGCCACTGCACCAAGCCCCAGCATTCTTTTTTCTTACTTTTTATTTTTTGAGACCAGCCTGTCAGGTTGGAGTGCAGTGGCACGATCTCAGCTCACTGCAACCTCAGCCTCCCAAGTTCAAGTGATTCTCCTGTCTCAACCTCCCAAGTAGGTGGGATTACAGGCATGCACCACCATGCCCAGCTAATTTTTGTATTCTTAGTAGAGGCGGGGTTTTGCCTTGTTGGCCAGGCTGGTCTCGAACTCCTGACCTCAGATATTCTGCCCGCCTCTGTCTCCCAGAGTGCTGGGATTACAGGAGTGAGCCACGGTGCCTGGCTTCTTTTTAATGCATGCATAATGTTCTACTGTATGGTATGTAGGGGAGAAAAAAGAGTTTTCCTCTACGCTTCTGAGTTTTTGGTTGTGATAGACCCTGTAACAAAAGATAGATTAACAAGAAGAAAACAAACAGGACCAGGCATGGTGGCTCATGCCTGTAATCCCAACACTTTGGGAGTCCAGAGTTCCAGACCAGCCTGGGCAATATGGCAAAAAACCATCTCTATAAAAAGTGTAAAAATTAGCTGGGCATAGTAGTGGATGCCTGTGGTCCCAGCTACTCTACTCTGGTGGCTGAGGTGGGTGGATCGCTTGAGCCCGGGAGCAGGAGGTTGCCGTGAGCCGTGATTGTGCCATTGCACTTCAGCCTGGGTGACAGAGCAAAGCCATCTCAAAATAAATAAATGAAAGAAAGAAAAAAAAAGAAAAACAGAAATTTAAAAACATGTACGTCATGTATTCAAAAGAGAGACCAGGGAAATGAGCAAATCTCTAAGAGGTGGCTTTGAATTCAGGATTATACAGCATCTTCAAAAAAGAACAGCAAAGGTTTTTTTTTTTTTTTTTTTTTTTTTTTGAGACGGAGTCTCGCTCTGTCGCCCAGGCTGGAGTGCAGTGGCCGGATCTCAGCTCACTGCAAGCTCCGCCTCCCGGGTTCACGCCATTCTCCTGCCTCAGCCTCCTGAGTAGCTGGGACTACAGGCGCCCACCACCTCGCCCGGCTAGTTTTTTGTATTTTTTTAGTAGAGACGGGGTTTCACCGTGTTAGCCAGGATGGTCTCGATCTCCCGACCTCGTGATCCGCCCGTCTCGGCCTCCCAAAGTGCTGGGATTACAGGCTTGAGCCACCGCGCCCAGCTAGAACAGGATATGTTTAGAGAAGTGTTAAGAGAGCCGGGCGCAGTGGCTCACACTTGTAATTCCAGCACTTTGGGAGGCCAAGGCGGGCGGATCACCTGAGGTTGAGAGTTCAAGACCAGCCTAACCAACATGGAGCAACCCCATCTCTACTAAAAATACAAAATTAGCCGGGTGTGGTGGTGCGTGCCTGTAATCCCAGCTACTCAGGAGGCTGAGGCAGGAGAATTGCTTGAACCCAGGAGGCGGAGGTTGCCGTGAGGTTGCACCATTGCACTCCAGCCTGGGCAACAAGAGAGAAACTTCGTCTCAAAAAAACAACAAAAAAGAGAAGTGTTAAGAGAAGGAAAATGATTTTGAGTCTCTAGGGGTGGCAAATTATGGGAAGGCAAATAAGCAATAGAAAAAGGCTCATTAATAAAGTTTGTCATGTAGATTCCTGGCTGATAAAGGTTTGTCAAAAGACAAAATTACAACTAATTTAAAGAGCATAACTGGCTTTTATGCGATGATAGAATTGCGCAACACCTCATTCTATAAAACAGAATGAGTTGAGTGGAGGAGATTGACTTTCAGAAAGGGCTGAAGAAAGCAGAAACAGAAAAGTGAATTGGTTGTTTCGAGGTTACTTTCCTTGTAAAGTTTAAAGCAGAGGGTATTTCCTTATCATGCCACTTAAAACTGATCTGTTTGGGAATCTGGCTATTATTTTTCTTTCTCCTGATTTCTTAGAAAGTCAGATTGACAACTTAGTTTTGACCTTGTGATGTGGAACATGTGTGACATGAGTGCCTCCATTTTGGTTTAGTCTGTTGGGCCTAGTCTGGTGCAGGAGCTCAGTCCAAACCAATGGCTTCCTATAAATTTTATTTAACAGGTGTAAAATTGTCTTCAGTGATTAACCTTTGTCCTTCCAGGCTGTGCGGGAAGAGGGATACCTTTGCCTTTTAAAATTTGTGTCCTGCTTTTAGGCAAATGGGGGAAGGCGGAGAACTTTCTACGTATCTACATCTTCTCAATTGTCTTCGTCTTGAAATAATCCTTAGGCTAAAGAGGCGTATTTTGGGGTGGCACATTCTGGTGTCCTTACAGGTACACTACTTTTATTCATGTCTGTTACTATTATTCCACCCCCTTCACCTTGGGCCACCCTATCTTCAGTCTCCCTCATTTTTCTTTTCAACTAGCACCATTTACCCATTCACTGCGTACCCGACAGTTCTCGCAACAGGGTGATCACTCAGTAAGTACTGTTGTCCCTTTGGTCTGTTTCTGGCAGCGATTAGCTGTGTGCATTCTTAGGAGCGACGGAGGGGATAGAAGAGGGCACTAGTGAAGAACCAAGGTGCTTCAGCCGAATAGGGAGGGAGGAGGAGAGCTGAGGCGAGCCTCAGCTTCTGCCTTCGACGTCTTCTGAAGGAGGGTGGGCTTCGAGGCGGAAGGGTGCTTAGGGCACTGAGTAGCCCAGAGCTGGGAGCTCCTGCAGGACTAAGGGGACCGGCCGGGCGAGGCACCTGGGCGGGGTCGGGGCGGGGCTCGCAGGGGCTGGGCGGCCTGGGGGCGGGGCTGGGCGGAGCGCGCAGCCGCGCAGCTGTGGGAGGACTGCGGGGCTCTCGAGGCTAGCTGCAGAGCTTGTGGAGGCCATGGGGCGCGCCGTCGCGGAGCTAGTCTCCTCGCTGCTGGGGCTGTGGCTGCTGCTGTGCAGCTGCGGATGCCCCGAGGGCGCCGAGCTGCGTGCCCCGCCAGATAAAATCGGTAGGCGAGAAGGTGGAGGCGCGGGAGGGAGCTGGAGCGCGCCCCGCGCCGGGCGGCCGCTGCGCAGTGCGCCCAGATCCCACAGCCGCGACGCAGGCCAGCGGTGCAGGCCGAGTCAGCCGCGCAGGTCGCGCTTTCCCCCATTCACATCTCAGGGCGGCTTTCAGCTCTGCTTGGAATAGGACTGTGCATTCCCAGGCGTGGAGAGGTGCCCACTTGAGGAATGGGAGAGGACGGGGACGGGCGGGCGGGCAGGCAGGCGCCTAGCGTACCTGTAGCTCCTGTCTCTTAGGCCTGGGGCTCCTTGGAGGCCTAGGTTCCTCTATCTTCCCTTTGAACACTGAGGGTGAAGAGTCCAGTGTTCTGGCTCGACCTGGGGCGCTCGGCCAGATTGCAGGCTCACGCAGACACAGCACAGGGAGGAGTGAAAACAAGCTGACCCTGTCTGCTCCCCTTGGGAGGCTGAACCCCCTTCCCCCAGCTCCGCTTTGCTGAGGTCGGCCTGCTCTCAGAGGCGCCTGGCTTGCACAATTTCTCTGCCTAGGACTAACACAACCACAGAAAGAATCTGTATTCTCTTTCCAGTGTCAGGAGCCTTGGCTTTTTGCTTCCTGTCTCCCTCCCGCCCTCCTTTAAAGTCGTGTTCTTCGATATCATTAACCTCTCTACATTGAATTTAGACACAACAAAGCTAGGCATAAATGGCCGTCACTTTATTAAAAATGCGTGCTGGATGCGTGCTGGAAAGGTCGACCTCTAATGTGCCCGTGAGTTGGGCATCAAGAAGGGTGTGCAGGTCCCTTGATTCCTCCATAAAGACCTGTGAGAATCTTTGAGCATCTGGAAAAAAAATCGAATTAATGTCAATATGTTAATTAATCTACTGCTTTTGTCTGGGGGCAGTGTCTGTCCAGATTCAGGGAGTTAGACCTTCGCTGCAGGTGTCACTCTTCCCCACCGAATTGTTGGTAATAGCTTTGAGTAACAACCTCCGCTATTAGTGGTCTTTCAAAAACAAAAGAACTCACAGAGCTGGTAAAAGGGGAAAAAATAATCTTCTGTTTTTTTCCCTCATAGCGATTATTGGAGCCGGAATTGGTGGCACTTCAGCAGCCTATTACCTGCGGCAGAAATTTGGGAAAGATGTGAAGATAGACCTGTTTGAAAGAGAAGAGGTCGGGGGCCGTCTGGCTACCATGATGGTGCAGGGGCAAGAATATGAGGCAGGAGGTTCTGTCATCCATCCTTTAAATCTGCACATGAAGCGTTTTGTCAAAGACTTGGGTATGTAATTTTGGTCTTGGAGCTCACCAGATTACTGTGTGACATCCCCAGATATTTTTATCAGATGGAGAACTGAAACTTCTGCCTTGTTAATTGCCTTACAGAGACGTTGGTAAAACTGTTTTCCTCAATTTCTTGTTAGTTGGTACTGCCTTAGTTAGGAGCAGTTCTGCTGTAATGGGACACTAGTTATCTGTATCACTAGTTATCTGGAATTACAGCCATAGGGTGGGGGTGGGAATGGCTGCCATTGTCTTTTTTTTTCTTTTGAGACAGAGTTTTGCTCTTGTCGCCCAGGCTGGAGTGCAATGGTGCGATCTCGGCTCACTGCAACCTCTGCCTCCCGGGTTCAAGCGATTCTCCTGCCTCAGCCTCCCCAGTAGCTGGGATTACAGGTGCACGCCACCATGCCCGGCTAATTTTTGTATTTTCAGTAGAGATGGGGTTTCACCCTGTTGGCCCGGCTGGTCTTGAACTCCTGACCTCAGGTGATCTGCCTGCCTTGGCCTCCCAAAGTGCTGGGATTACAGGGGTGAGCCACCGTGCCCGGCTTCTGTTGTCTGTTCCTAAACTTCTTAAACTTGTGTTAAAGAATCAGAGAAGGTTTGGAGATAGTCACCTCATTGTGATCATTTTGCAGATGGGTAAATGAGACCCAGAGTCTTGAAATGTCTGGCTCAAAGTCACTCACATATGGCGATGGCTGGGGTCAGTGGCTCATGCCTGTAATCCCAGCACTTTGGGAGGCCGAGGTAGAGGATCACTTGTGCCCAGGAGTTAGAAACCAGTCTGGGCAACATAGTGAGACCCTGTCTTTACTAAAAATAAAAAAATTAGCCTGGTGTGATGGCACAAATCTGTAGTCCCAGCTACTTGGGAGGCAGAGGCAGGAGGATCCCGTGAGCCTGGGAGATAGAAGCTGCAGTGAGCCTTGATTGTGCCACTGTACTTCAGCCTGGGCAACAAAGTGAGACCCTGTCAAAACAAACCACCACAAACAAAACAAACTCACTCACACAGCTGTGGATGCAGACATGTGCCTAGAACTTGGGACGTGCAACTGCTACCCTGACAGCAGAGGAGCTGGATACGTCATGGGGAAAGTCTGACAGGCCACTGCAGGCCCTTTCGGCAGAGAGTATTTCGTAACTTTGGCTTCCCTCCAGTTACGTGAAATATCCAGTTTTACAAAATAGGATTCTCACAGGAATGGAAGTGCCTCTTTCCCCTCAGCTGCCTTCCACATCCTCTGTAGATGCTGCCTCTGCTTCAGTTTCCTCCACGAGGGCAAAGGTATGCCCAGAACAAATTATGCCATGAAGATACATGTCTGACATCTTTGTTTTTAAATTGAATTCAATTGCTACTCTGGCTTTTTTCCTTTGACTATCCAGTTTTTTTAGACTAAAAAATAGCCAGGTAAAAATATATCTACTTTTGATATATTAATATTTACATGATCATCTGACCCATCGCCTAGCACGTCTGCTTTTGGACAGTGTAGTGAAAGTATAGTGTTTCACACTGTCCAAAGATAGAGCTCCTTTATGTGTCTCCTGAGAACTGAGGGAAGCCCCAAATTCACTCAGATTACATTCTTTCATTTGGTCAGGATAGACACCACTGACTTAGCTGCGCTTTATGTTTTTGCAGGTCTCTCTACTGTTCAGGCCTCTGGTGGCCTACTGGGGATATATAATGGAGAGGCTCTGGTATTTGAGGAGAGCAACTGGTTCATAATTAACGTGATTAAATTAGTTTGGCGCTATGGATTTCAGTCCCTCCGTATGCACATGTGGGTAGAGGACGTGTTAGACAAGTTCATGAGGTAATTTTTTTCCTTCCATTTAACCTAAGATCTTTTAATTTAGGTTAAATTAAACTTGATGAACTTCAGGAATTATAATTTCTTGTAAGCATTTTCTACCTCACTGCAAGGCCTGTTTATAACATTGTTAGGCAAAATGTTTTGTAGAAACCATGCAGACTGTTTGCTTGGAAATTGAAAGGTTGGTTTATTTTTGCTTCCGAAGTGTATTTTGCAAATGCTTTTTTAGTGTTGCCAGATGCTGTTAGATGCCTTGAATTCTTATGATAACTCTCTCAGGTAGGTACTGTTTTTAGCTTCTTTAAACAGATGCAGAAGGTGGTGGTGCAGAGAGGTTTTAAGAGGCAAGTTCACCCACGTCGTAAGTGGTATAGCTGGAGTTGCCACCCAGGCAGTCTGGCTTTAGAGTCTTCACTCTTAATCTCTGTGCTATGCTGGTCATTGTGTATATGAATGAGATAATGTGTGTAAGAGCTTGTAGAAAGGATCAGAAAACTTAAATGGGCTTTAATAGTGACATGTTTTCAGTGAACCAACAGCCTGAAGTAGAGTAAAAGTTCCATATTCCAAGAATTTACATTCTAGCACTGTTCTGGGTAGTAAAAATTCAGGTGCTTCCTTTTCGTCCTTATGCTTTTCTATATTTAAACAATTTTTTTATGTGTGTGAATATGCATCGCTTTGGTAATCAGGAAGAGTAACATAAAATAGCCAGTCTAATTTTGAAGGGTACAATCTGTTTTTTTTAAAGCTGTTGGCATGTGTTAGTTTTTTTTTTTTTTTTTTGAGACACAGTTTTGCTCTGTTGCCCGGGCTGGAGTGCAGTGGCGCCATCTTGGCTCACTGCAACCTCCGCCTCCCCGGTTCAAGTGATTCTCCTGCCTCAGACTCCACAGTAGCTGGGATTACAGGTGCCTGCCACTGCGCCCGGCTAATTTTTCGTATTTTTAGTAGAGATGGGGTTTCGATCTCCTGACCTCGTGATCAGCCTCAGCCTCCCGCCTCAGCCTCCTAGTGTTGGGATTACAGGTGTGAGCCACTGTGCCCGGCTGGCACATGCTAATTTTTATGCTGGTTTATAGTTTTAGGTACTGGAGGCCAGTATCGCGCCATTACACTCCAGCCTGGGTGACAGAGCAAGACTCCATCTTGAGGGGCAAAAAAAAAACAAAACCAAAAAAACCCCAAAAATGTGTCATATGACCAGGTATTGAACAGGACAAATATGAGTTAAGCGGAGCTGGGCACACTGGCTTATGCCTCTAATCCCAGAACTTTGGGAGGGTGAGGCTGGTGGATCACCTGAGGTCAGGAGTTTGAGACCAGCCTTACCAACACGGTGAAACCCTCTCTCTACAAAAAATATAAAAAATTAGCCAGTGTGGTGGTGCATGCCTGTAATCCCAGCTACTTGTGAACCTGAGGCAGGAGAATCGCTTGAACCCGGGAGGCAGAGGTTGCGGTTGCAGTGAGCTGAGATCGTGCCATTGCGCTCTAGCTCGGGGGACAGAGCCAAACTCTGTCTCAAAAAAAAAAAAAGAGTTAAGCAGGATATACTCTGGTTTCTCTAACTTATGGTAGTTTGGGTTTTCTTTCTCAACATCATTCTTAGGTCAGTTCCTTATTTGCCTTTCCCGTGGGTACCTTAAGTCCAGCTACAGTGCGTATGGTTTTTAAATAGCCATTCATTCATTCACCCAATATTGAGTGCCTGTTAGGTGCCAGGCATTGTTCTATGTTGAGAATATAGGACCTACAACATGTCCTTGTCCTCAAGAATATATATTCTAGTGGAGAGACAGGCAAGATACAACTAAGGAAATATATAGAATTTGCGTAGAGACAGCCAGTCACTTTATAGAAGGTGGGTGGCATGGTACTGCATACTCAGCAGGCAGATCAAGTTCCGATGGCATCAGCCCTGCTTGTGTGTATCGTTTTACTTTTCTTTCTTTTTTTTTTTTTGAGATGGAATCTCGCTTTGTTGCACAGGCTGGAGTGCAGTGGTGGGATCTCAGCTCACTGCAACCTCCGCCTCCCGGGTTCAAGCAATTCTCCTGCCTCAGCCTCCTGAGTAGCTGGGATTACAGGCGCATACCACCATGCCTAGCTAATTTTTTGTATTTTTAATAGAGACAGGGTTTCACGGTATTAGCCAGGCTGGTCTTGAACTCCTGACCTCATGATCCACCTGTCTCGGCTTCCCAAAGTGCTGGGATTGCAGGCGTGAGCCACCACGCTCGGCCCTCTTTTTTTTTTCTTTTTGACACAGGTTTCACTCTGTCACCCAGGCTGGAGTGCAGTGGTGTGATCATGGTCCACTGCAGCCTGGACCTCCTGAGCTCAGGTGATCCTTCTACCTTAGCCTCCGTGTAGCTGGGACTACAGGCACGTGCCAACAAATCTGGCTAATTTTTTGTATTTTTTTTGTAGAGAGGAGGTTTGGCCATGTTACCCAGGCTGATCTTGAATTCCTGGGCTCGAATGTTCCACTCATCTGGGCTTCCCAAAGTGTTGGGATTACGGGCGTGAGCTCCTGCTCCCAGCCTCGTTTTTCTTATCTGTGGCTTGCTTGACATGTACAGAATTGCCCTTTGAGAAATTAAGGAATTACTTTTTTTTTTTTTTTGAGATGAGTTTCACTCTGCTGCCCAGGCTGGAGTACAGTGGCGCAATCTCGGTTCACTGCAACCTCTGCCTCCTGGGTCCAAGTGATTCTCCTGCCTCAGCCTCCTGAGTAGCTGGGATTACAGGCATGTGCTACCATACCCAGATAATTTTTGTATTTTTAGTAGAGACGGGGTTTTACCATGTTGGCCAGGCTGGTCTTGAACTCCTGGCCTCAATTGATCCGCCTGTCTTGGTCTCCTAAAGTGCTGGGATTATAGGCGTGAGCCACCGCACCTGGCCTAAGAAATCACTTTTGAAGTGAATTCAAGGTATTACAGAACTGGGAAAAAGAACCAGTGAGGGGATACATAGGTTATACTGTTTTTGACTTTAAAAAACAATTTACGGGCAGGGCACGGTGGCTCACGCCTGTAATCCCAGCGCTTTGGGAGGCCAAGGCAGGTAGATCACAAGGTCAGGAGTTTGAGACCAGCTTGGCCAACATGGTGAAACCCCGTCTCTACTGAAAATACAAAAATTAGGCCGGGCGTGGTGGCTCACGCCTGTAATCCCAGCACTTTGGGAGGCCGAGACGGGCGGATCACGAGGTCAGGAGATCGAGACCATCCTGGCTAACACGGTGAAACCCCGTCTCTACTAAAAAATACAAAAAACTAGCCGGGCGAGGTGGCGGGCACCTGTAGTCCCAGCTACTCGGGAGGCTGAGGCAGGAGAATGGCGTAGACCCGGGAGGCGGAGCTTGCAGTGAGCTGAGATCCGGCCACTGCACTCCAGCCTGGGCGACAGAGTGAGACTCCGTCTCAAAAAAAAAAAAAAAAAAAAAAAAGGAAAATACAAAAATTAGCAGGGCGTGGAGGTGCGTGCCTGTAATCCCAGCTACTTGGGAGGTTGAGGCAGGAGAATCACTTGAACCCCGGAGGCAGAGTTTGCAGTGAGCTGAGATCACGTCATTGCACTCCAGCCTGGGTGACAGGGCGAGACTCGTCTCAAAAAAAAAAAAAAAAAAAAAAAATTTACAAATTTCATAGAATTACCCCCATTTTAAATATTTGATTATATGGCACTGACTTTTATGTTGCTAATATTGCATTATACGTTTCTGTTTATTTCAATAAATCAAGATTATGTAATCTTGTTTGATAATTTTATCAAATCCTATGAGATAGTTGGAGAGGTTGTTGCTATTCAGCCAATATGTACCAGTTGTTAAAAGTAGTGAAATATGGGCAAGTGCTGTGGCTCATGCCTGTAATCCCAGCACTTTTGGAGGCTGAAGTGGGAAGATCACTTGAGGCCAGGAGTTGGATACCAGCCTGGACAACATGGCCAAACCTTGTCTCTACAAAAAATAAAAAAAAATTAGTCAAGTGTGGTGGCATGTGCCTGTGGTCCCAGCTACCTGGGAGGCTATGGTGGGAGGATCACTTGAGACTGGGAGGTTGAGGCTGCTGTGAGCTATGATCATGCCACTGCACTCTAACCTGGATGACAGAGTGAGACTCCGTCTGAAAAAAAAAACACAAAAAACAGGCTGGGCATGGTGGCTCATACTTGTAATCCCAGCACTTTGGGAGGCCGAGGTGGGTGGATCACCTGAGGTCCGGAGTTCGAGACCAGCTTGGCCAACATGGTGAAACCCCGTCTCTACTGAAAATACAAAAAATTAGCCGAGTGTGGTGGCGGGCGCCTGTAATCCCAGCTACTCGGGAGGCCGAGTCAGGAGAATCAGTAGAACCCAAGAGGTATAGGTTGCAGGGAGCTGAGAATGTGCCATTGCACTCCAGCCTGGGCAACAAGAGTGAAACTCTGTCTCAAAAACAAAAAACAAACAAACAAAAAAAACCCCACAGAAAACAAACAAACAAACATAAAAAAATTAGCTGGGCATGGTGCTGTACCTGTGGTTCCAGCTACTCAGGAAGCTGAGGTGGGAGGATTGCTTGAGCCTAGGAGTTCGAGGTTATAGTGAACTACGATTGTGCCACTGTACTCTAGCCTGGGCAACAGAGCGAAAGACCCTGTCTCTAAAAAAAAAAATCAAAGAAAAAACAGTAGTGAAATACTGCTGGAGTGGTGAAACTGTTGCTTCCCTTCGTGGGGAGGCATCTCCCCTACCCAAAGAACCCCTCTTTCCTTCCCTCAGCAGGAAGCCTTGGTTTAGTTCCACTTCCACAGCCAGTGCGCTTTCTGTTTCGTGTGTACCACTTAAATATTTTTAATATCACCCCATGTTAGAAATATTCTGGAATGTCACAAAAACCAGGATTAGAAGTCACAGAGATTACCAAAGAGGAACTTGGAACCAGTTACCCTCCATTTCAGTTAAAACAGTAGTTCTCAGCTGGGCGCGGTGGCTCACGCTTGTAATC